GAAGTTCCCCCCCCCTTTCGGCCGCAAAACCGCGGGAAACGAACCCGGGTGTAAAAAAAAAAAAAAAAAAGCTAGCGAAGATCGTGCTACCTTTCGCACCGTTCTCTTCTTAATATTCATCCTTGTTGCCCTTTGACCTGTCACCCCAGGACCTGATGGTCGGAGATGAAGCCAGCGAGCTGCGCTCCATGTTAGAAGTCAACTACCCCATGGAGAACGGCATCGTCAGGAACTGGGACGACATGAAGCATTTATGGGACTACACCTTCGGCCCAGAGAAGCTCAACATTGACTCCCGCAACTGCAAGATCCTGCTGACGGAGCCGCCCATGAACCCCACCAAGAACCGCGAGAAGATCATAGAGGTGGGCCCACGTCGTTGCATGAAAAGAGTTTATTGTTGTAGCAGTGTTGAGTTGTTTAAGGTGGACGTATGCATTTAACTGTATCCACCTTAATGAACTGGTTTTGTCCAGTATTACTGATATCCTTAGTTTTTGCATTAAACAAACCTGCAGAGAATTTATATTTTTATACATCCACACAAAGGCAGCAAAAAAAAAAATGACTCGCCTAATAACATACCTCTACCTACCACTAGAAGGAGCCCAAGTAACACCATGGGTACCTGTGACAGAGTTTAAGAACAGCTGCTTTAAGGCTTTGGAGAACTCTATAATCAACTGTAGAGTGGAAAAAAAACAACGTGATTTTCAAAATATACTTCACTGCACAAGTTTGTTTCTATCATTAAAAAAAAAACATTTCTTGGCCTCTGTGACAGGTGATGTTCGAGAACTACCAGTTTTCAGGAGTCTACATTGCCATTCAGGCTGTGCTGACTCTGTACGCCCAAGGTAAGAACGCTTTCTCCACAAAATACTCTTTAATATTTCATATTATTTCATTGTCATTAAAAATGAATGGAACAATTATTTGAAAAGTAATAAAATATTAAGATTGTGACAAACTGCTGGTCCTTTTGTTCCAGAACGTCAACAAGTGTAAAAGTGAAAGGATATTTCAAATATATTGAGTTTTTGTTTTTTTAGTCGCCTTAAACTCCATGAACTGTTACAGAAGTGACATCCACTGTTTGCTCTTCATTGTAATTATGTCAATACTCCGGTCTTCCTGCCACGCCTTGGTCAAATAGCTCGTTAGTCAATGATGTGGTTCATGAGAATGTCGAAGCAGCCGATGTGAAAATTCAGTTTGTGACATCACGTCTAGACAGTGAACGCAGCATCAGCTGACGAGGTCTCAGTTACAGATGCACCGGAGAGTTACATTTTTAATGAGAATTTAACTTTAACGCAAGGATGGAGGGATTGACCAATGAACATTCAGTTTGAATGTTGCGTTAACCTGTGGAATATGAGGAGAAAAAAATGTCTTGAACCGTTTTGCTCCATTCTTCAAATGTCTTTTTTAAGCCTTTTGTTTCATGTTTTAGACCAAATATCTCTGTTTCTACTTCAGCTTGAAATAATTATTTGTGAAAAATAGAAACAACAACATGTTCAACCAACCCGCTGTGCTTGTGTGTTCCCAGGTCTTCTGACTGGTGTGGTGGTGGACTCAGGTGACGGTGTGACTCACATCTGTCCAGTCTATGAAGGATTCAGTCTGCCTCATCTGACCCGACGTCTGGACATCGCAGGCAGGGACATCACTCGCTACCTCATCAAGGTACGAGGTGAAACATGGAACTGATGAGTCGAGCACCAGGGACACGGGTCAAGACAACAAATTTAATATCCTGCCTTTATGACACATACGGTCGCTAGTATGTTAAAGTTTGGGCATCAAATTACAGACTTTCTTATAATATGTCAAAAAAAGTTAGATTTTATTTCCATCATTTACACTTTCAAAATAACAGGGAAAAAAAAATCGAGTCTGCAAAAGTTTGGGCATATGTAAGAACTGCCATGACTGTGGGCTGACACAAGGTGGCGATGGATGGATGTGAAAAGGTTGATTGGAGTTAATGTACAGTTCTGAATCTTGTCACAGTAGTAGATTAGTAGTACTGTACCTGTACTATAATGCAGTACTTTTTTTTGTCTCTGTAAATGTCACTTTTTTTTAATAGACAACTGAACGTGCGAGTGTTTGTTTGTTTGTTTGTCCTGCAGTTGTTGTTGTTGAGAGGCTACGCCTTCAACCACTCTGCTGACTTTGAGACCGTGCGCATGATGAAGGAGAAGCTGTGCTACGTCGGCTACAACATCGAGCAGGAGCAGAAGCTGGCGCTGGAGACCACCGTGCTGGTGGAGTCTTACACGGTACACTTTTCTCCTTGGTGGTGAGGGTGTGGGAGGGGGCGGTCAAACTGGGCAGTTCTCCAGTCCATCACGGGGTCACATGAAGACACCGACATTTACAGGTCTGTGTCGGGAACTGTCGGGAAACAGGTCTGTGTCGGGAACTTAGAACCTCCCAAACCTAAACACACACACAAACTACAGGTCTGTGTCGGGAACTTAGAACCTAGAACCTCCCAAACTTAAACACACACACAAATGTTTTTTGTCACCAAAACGTTCAAAGAATGAAAACTCTAACATCTCTGTACCGATGTGAATTTCCAAAATCAGCTGCTGTAGATTCATCGTCAGGTGCTGAGATGGTGATGAGACTAAATTTGTTGTGGTTTTTCTGGATCGGGACGTGAACTGCTCCTGAGTTTGTTTGGTCACCTGGTGTTTGTGATTTTTTTATGAAGTGAACTGACAGAAAAGTCTGAGATTGACTCTGTGGGAATCATTCACTCGGTCGGAGTTAATGGGGTTGGAAAGATGATGTCATCACTTCATCACCTCCCCCCCCGTCGGACAGATGGAACTTTAAATACACAAGTGTTGAAATATATCAGAGGAATGTCAACCTGGCCGAAAAAGACTTTATAGTTGCAAAAAAAAAAAATTTGGTAAACGACAAATAAGTTAAAATAACTAAGCTGATCTTCTTATAAAAACTCAAATCTAATTCAAAGCAAATCTAGGAATAAACAGCAAATTTAGCAACAAAAAGTTAAGAAGAACCAAACATTAGTTCTGAATGACTGAGGCTTGAGGTCAAAGGTCACAGAAATGTAGTTTAATCTATAAAGTGTTAAATAACAACTTTACCCAGAGCGTTTTTTTTTTTTTTTTTTGAGCGGGCACATGTCGAGCAGCAGACTTTGGTGTTGGCTGCTTCAGTCGACCACACAACACATTTCCAGACCTCGGGAAGAATCTCGTTTTTTGTTTTTCCTCTTTGAAACTAAAAATGAGTTCTTTTTTTTTTTTCTTTTTTTTTTAATGTGGGCCACATGCACACACATTCACAGGCCTCACATTTCTGCCTGAAATAGCAACCCTGTTACACCAGCGCCTCCCGGAGGGTTTGTTATTGAAGAGTGGCACTATTCTGAAGTAGTCAAAACTAATGGGGTAACTAAATCTGTTCCTGCCCTCAGCTGCAGCCAGACCACCACAGGCCCGCTCTTGGCACCTCAGTCTGGGCCGCTGCCGCTGCCTAACTGTTTTTCCCTGGGACTCGAACACACAGGGCGCAGCTCTCGGTCCCTCCACCGGGCTGTGCTTTTCTTTCCAGGCCTCCGTTCCCTCGCAGGGAACCGCAGGAGTGTAAACGCTGCACCTGAGGGTCTGGACTTCCTGCACGCCTTAGCGAGCACATGTTGTGTCTCCCAGCTCACTGTGACCATGTGTGTTTGGGTTAGTGTAGGCGAATGGGAGCACAGGTGTCAGTACGGTCCTGTGCTCCAGGAACAAGGAGGCTAATGTGAGCGTGGCCGGAGGGGCCCTGAACTGCACCTTACATCATTTCCTGTGCAGCCACAGTGCGGGCTGAGGGCTGGGCTCCACTTCCTCCCACCGCCTTCAGCTGAATGAAGCCCTTTTTTTAACAGTCGCACATGTGAACGCCACTGGCCTCGGTGTGAAGCCCACTCTGTGGCCCAGTGTTGCTGCACAGTATCATTAAAGGAAAAAAATCTTTATTGACTTTAAAATAGAGAACTTTACATCCTTACGTCTTTAACAGTCTCTCTCTCTCTCCCTCCCTTCCCCCTTCTCGCTTCATGTCCTGCCTCCCACCCACATCCAGCTGCCAGATGGTCGTGTGATCAAGGTGGGAGGAGAGCGCTTTGAGGCCCCCGAGGCTCTGTTCCAGCCGCACCTCATCAACGTGGAAGGTGTGGGAGTGGCCGAGCTGCTCTTCAACACCATCCAGGCGGCCGACATCGACACCAGGTGAGAACATGGCTGTGGCTTTCACCGCAGACCAGTTTGGTCCACTTTAAACAGACCAGGGTTCTCCTCATCTGTTGGTCTGGTTTGAAAGTTCATTCAAACTCTGATGCAGAACAAACGGGTCTGAAAAAAAGAATAGTTCTGGTTTACTTGCTAGTTAAGTTGGACATGGAGATTATTAGGACTGTAAGAAAATATTGATAAACTAAAATATCACGATGGTTCGTTTCCTGATACCATATCAATCTCCTCCTTCATCAATGTATTGATTTTTTTTTCTCACCAATTCCCAG